GAGCTACAGACAAAACCGAAGTCAGTTTCCCATGGGGTTCTGATTTGTTTGCCGTTAATATCAAAGGCCTTACCTTCTGGAAGCATGTGAGCTTTCTACAGACTTACCACACTGTTCTCCTGCTGGTCCATCTTGGCTTTGACATTTGGCCCCGAGGCCATAATTTTCACTTGGTTCTGTAAGTACTTTACCAACTGAGCCATCTTCCCAGCCCCGAGAACATCTCTGAACATGACATCCGTCATCTTACGTGGTCCTTATGATGCGGCATAAAAATGGACAGGGTGAGTGCTACACCAAGCACCAGGAGTAGCCTGCCAAGGCCCACTGGGGTGTTTCCTGTAAAGTCTGCGAATGGGAGAAGCCATTCTTTAAAATCCAAAATGTTTCCAAAGGGGTTTTAAATTTTTATTGACAACGTTCCTTTTCTGTGTAGAAGTGTTTCACCTGCATGTATGTCTGTGAACCCCACCTGCATGTGCTAGAAAGCCAGAGAAGGGCACTGGATCCTCTGGAACTAGAATTATAGACAATTTTGAAACACCACATGGGTGCTGAGAAATGAGCCTGGGTCCTCTGTGTGTTCAACCAGCGCTCTGAATGCTGAGCCATCTCCCAGATCCCTCAAAGAGTTTTAGAATTTTGAATTTAATCACCGCATTAGGAAAATGTAAAATTTGGGTAAAATCTTGGTGGGAGAAAAATATGTGTATAGCTCAAGTTAAGGAGAAAGCTCCAGGTACTTGCCTGTGATGTCCAAGGTGAGATCGATTCATTCAGGGGACAAACACTGAATGAGGACTTACTGTGCAGCTGGAGGCAGGCTGGAAAGAAGGGAGGAAAGTTAGGAATAAAACACACGTGTCCTGGAGGTTCACTCACGTTCTCCCGTCAAGCCTCAGAGGTGTGTATGCCTGGCTCCGCAGTGTAAGTAGCAACAATAGTCTAGAAGCCCTCTTCATTTAAAACACATCACCACCCGACTGGGGCTTCAAAGAGTTTGGGGTTAGAAAGTCTGACACAGGAACCATACTATTGACCTATTTGACCCTGAGTATGGTGGGATGTGATGGTAAAACAGTACTCGGTAGCTAAGGCAGGAGGGCACACGTTCAAGGCCAGCCTGGGATACTTAGCGGAGCTTTGACTCAAAAAAGAAAGGAGGGGTGGAATTAAGGAAAGAAGGAAAGAGTACTGTTACTAATCCTTTCATATTATGAAGGCATGTGAGGGTACACTCCACCCTCCCCTTTTTGTTAAATTGGCACTGATATTTCTTGAAAAATATTCTGGAAATACATGCTAAGATTTATGACTCAATAACACTAGTTTTAATGGTTTTGACTCCCCAGTCTTATTTTACCCATTTCTTCCAACAACAATAGAAAAATTAACCCAAGGAAATGTGGTTCTGTTGGGATGGCTCACTGTGGAGCTGTGGGGAACTTACAGAAAAAAAAATTGTGTCTTTCAATGCAATTTCTGTCAATTGAACCACAAACTTTGGAAAATGAAGAGTAAGCAATAGACTCAAGACTCTAAGAGTTAAAGGAAATATCATCACCTCAGAATTACACCTTTCATTTTTTTACACTTCGGGGAAAACCAGTTTTAATGTATGTGACTGAAGTGTTTTACTAAAGAATGTGAAATAAACGTCTTTTGTATTGTATTTCATAGAAAACAATGGTTTAAATTTTAAAACTAGCTGTACGTAGGAATGGGAAAAGGAGAAAAGAACAGACTAAAAAGAGTAACCCACGGTATGGGTGCTTTCAAAAGGGAAACATTTCTAAATGCAACTAGTGGCACCATTTTAAATGTGTCCCAGAGACTGCACCGAAAGCTAAATTAAACAATATGTTAAATGTTGTCTGTGCGATGTAGCTGGTTTTTCCAGTCTAGTCACTAAAGACATTGTAAAGGTCACACTACTCAGGAAGACCTAAGAATGGCCAACAAAATGAATGCAATTTGTTTCTGAGCATAGTTACATGTATCAGACAGTGGCTTATGGACTTTTTGCCACTGGTCCTAGTGATCTTTGAGGTGAACTGACATTACTCCATAATTCAAGGAAAGCTAGGCAGTTCCTTAGAAGATGGGAATATAGCCAGCCTCCCAACACTAAAAAAAGTACCTATGTTCTCTAGTGGGCAGTGGACCAGGCAAGACCTGCGCTCTGGAGGAGGTGAAAAGACAGCAGCCCCACTTCTTTTCAATTTGGAACTCAGTCTCTAAGTTTACATTTGCTTTCCCATCAGATTTTAATGTGAAATCAGTGGTAAGAAAAGACACATACACTTCAAAGAGTTAGCAAGCCTAAGATTGTCATAGTAACACTAATAAAAAAAAACCCTTAATGCATCATATTTACAGATATTCTAATATGTTCTTATCTATGGTGCTTAGTGTACAAGTTTTCAGCATATCACAGAATGACACATATCAATCACTCTTTTACCTAACATCATTATAACATTTTTGGAAGAAGCATAAACTTCCGACAAGAGTTCTTTGGGTGAACATGCATGGTATCTTGTTTCTCAAAGTTACTTTTTAATTACTCTTTCTCATTAGGTGTAATAAATATGTGTGACTGAGTTCTGAGATCTAAAGGAGAAACAAACAAACAAACAAACAAACAAACAAACAAGCAAACACCCCCACCCCAAACCCAAGGTTGCCCTTTGTGACTGAAAATCAGTGACAGTGATGTGGGAATCATGCCTCAGGAAGGTGTTGCTCCTGTGGGCCACCCTGCTGGAAAATTCTGATCTAGTTGCAACCTGAACTCAATAGCTTGAAAATAGCAAACCAGTAATTTTGTGAATCCAATCAGAGAACAAAAGTCACAGAATATTCCAGCAAGTAAGAAAATGGAGTTGTAAATATCAGCCTCGTTTATTTCCCATTACCACAGCTGGAGGCAAGAAAAGGACATGGCTCTGTATAATACAGTCCGGTCAGAATTATCACACACAACGAGCTCGAAGACTCCAGGGAAATATTAGGAAGAGAAGGCAGGGCACTTTTGTGCAGCATGCCAGTTGTGGCTCACTGTCCCTCATTGTATTTAGAAATCATACCTAGTTTAAAGATGAGTTTACTTTGAAATTTATAATGATAGCTGACCTGCCCCCATTTGCCCAAAAGTAAATTATAATAAGGCTGTCTCCAAGACAATATTATTTATAAAGAACTAGGGTATCTTTTTTATACCACACACCTTGATGCTAATTTTTGCAAAGACTCTCATATCTGAGTTTCCTTGATCTCAGCCGCCGACGTACTGGATATTCTGCGAGTTCTTTTCCATCACGTGCATCTTGCAAACATGCTTGTGTCAGAACCCTTATCTGCTCACCCTTGACAAACGCTGACCTGAGGCAGCCTGCCTCTGCCAGTGCCTGAAGCTAGATCCTGCATGAGATCTTCTGTTGAGGATGTACCCCATTGGACCACAGACCACATGCCTTCAAGGTACACATGTGGCTCCTGAATTTCATCTCTACTCAGACATCCTAAGGTCCCATGTCCCTTTCTTTGTTTCTCTAATTGTAGTGGCTCTCTCGTTTTCTTTGGGACTTCATTGACCTTGAATATTTTGCACATTAAAAGACAAAACCAAACTGTTTAGTGGCTGGGGAGACGCTCGGGGGTGGGGTGGGGTTGGAATGCTTTCTGCTCTTCACAGGATCTGAGTTTGGTCCTTAGCATCCATGTCATGGGTCTTTTCACATGTCTTAATCTCCTTATTTTAAGGAACCCAGTCAGATTGGGTTTGGGTCCATACAGTCAATCTCACTTTAACTTAATTGCTCACTGAAAGGCCTATCTCCAAACACAGCCACATTGTGAGGTCATGGACATTAATAATTTGGGGAACACAGTACAGGTCACACCTTCAGACAAAAATGTGGGCTAAGTTTTTGCCACTAAATTTGTGTCTGTTGCAGTTTATGTGTTTGTGAATCAAAAACAGCCGCTCCTCAGGCCAGCACAGCCTTGCAGGGCCTGAGGTCTGACAGGGCTTGTGAACTAGTTAGTAGAAGGGCCGCCTCAGCAAGCAGGTGTGTGCACACTGGCAGTGTGACTGAGGGATCTGTTTCAGTGTGGCGTGTTGGTGTGTTCAAGGAACCAGATCAAAAGAGGTGGAATTTCAATCCCATGCACATGAGCCAAAGTGCAGTTAACTGACCCCTCCCCACAGCACGATCCAGTGTTCAGTCAGTGACCTGAAGAAGAAAAAGTGGGACCTGAAGAAGAAACAGGCATATGAGGAAATGGTCTCAGCCACAGGGGGACCAAGGGACAGGACACCCCAAAGAAAAGAATTCTGTTCTCTGCGACAGGCAGGTTTCAAGACATAGTCTTTCCCATGATGCCATGGATGGGATTGAGAGGCTAAATGAGGTGTCCAAACAGGATACTCTGGCCATGATGTCTGTGACTTCAACTAAGATAATGCCTCAGAAACTGGCAGGTGAGGAAAGATGACCGGAAATGAAAGGAAAATAAATCAGGAGGAAGTAACTGTTATTACTAAGGAAACGGGGTGAGGCTGGGGAGGGAGTGAAAAAAAAAAAAAGATCAACTGGTTGGGTCTGAATTCATCTTTGAAATAACAAGAGTCCAGAAGATTAGACGTAGGTGAAAAAGTTTGATCAAGACTCCCAGCTGGAATTCTAAAGCAGAATCAGAAAAAGCTCTAAGAGCAGTACATTGAGTTTGGCACTATTAAGCATGCAAGGTGAATGTTAATGCACTGGGCAGAGCTGTATTCTCCTCAATCCCCACTCAAGAGGTTCAGACTAGAAAGTTCAATGACTTGTTTGTGATCTAAGGTTGACGGCAGGATAATCTATGGGGCAGACGAGGCCCAGTGCTCATTCAGCCATGCCCAGCCTGTGGACGCTGGTGTGGACTGTACCATACTATCAGTGCTGGCGGGGGGAGGGGACCACAGGCACCGTTTTGAAAAAAGAACCCCCTCTTGTTCTCTGTCACCACCTATATCTTGGCCCCTTCTCCACCTTCCACATTTAGGGGAAGCAGAAAACGTACGAAGCGAGTGGCAGTCAGAGAAGACCGGGAAGGTGCCTGTTACAGGAGACCCCGTATTGAAGACTAAAGGAAACCAGCCGACATGATGGTGTACGAGCATAATCCCGGCCCTCTAGAGGACACGGTAGGAGGGCGGGACTTGGGGAGCAGCCTGGGAGCTATAACAAGACCCCGTCAAAATGAACAAACAGCAAACGCAAAATAGCCCAAACTAATCAAATGGCTGCTTTTCACAAAGAAAGAGAGTAAGGGGAAGTTGGTCCAACTGCCTAATAATAAAGTAGAAACAAGTGTCAGAGGTGACATATATATACACAACACACATATATGTATATATATATCTCAGAAGTTTGATGTGTATTTATATGTATATATATGAAAGCATCTAATTGGGCTTAGGGTTCCAAAGGGTTAAAGTCCATGACGGCAGAGGAGAAGAGTAAAGGTGTGGTCACAGGAGCCGAGAGCTCACATCTTGATCTGCAACAAGGAGGCAGAGAGCACTGTGGGAATAGCGTGAGCTTTTGAATCTTCAAGCCCTCCCCAGTGACAGATTTCCCCCAACAAGTTCACACTTCCTCATCATTCCTAAACACTCCCAACTGGGGACCAAGTTTCAAACATTTGAGGCCATTGAGTGTCATTATTGTTCAAACCGCCACAGAACGTTTCCTTCTGCGAGCTGGCAGAGTGAAAATTAACTACTTTGTCGGGCGGAACCTTTCACTGTAATTCTGGTTGTCGACTCTTGCTCTCTCTACTTTTGAAGTCTTATCTAGGGATATAGACTGTGCAAATATCCTGTGTTTCCCTGTGTCTTACTTGGCTCCAACACTACGCCTCCAGTATGGATTTGCTCAGGTTTCTTGGCTGCTTGAGGGCTTTTGTGCTCTCAACATGAACTTGGGGTGTTTTCTCAGGTTACATAAAGCTATTCTTGGTGTTAAAGTCACCCACTGTTACACTGGGGCCTAAATCTCCTCTTTATGCCTAGTAGTGCTTTGTTTTTCACAAAACTAGGTGCTGTTCCAACACTGAGGGCGTACTAAGGTATATTTCGTTCTGATTTTCCTCTAGTGGCTTTCACTGTGTTTTGCTTACTCCTTCTGACTTTTTTTTGTAGACTTCATAGTCTACTGTGCTAATAATACTTTTTCCTTATTTCTCATTGACTCAACTCTTTTTCTACCAGGATTTCTTAAAATGGCATTTACTAAATTCTTTTCTGGGTATAGGATTTTTGTAATGCTGGTCTAGAGGTCATGAACTCCCTTAATTTGTCCTTTTTCTGGAAGGTCTTTATTTCTCCTTCAGTCGTGAAGGACAACTTTGATGTATTCAACAATCTTGCTTGGTAGTTGTTTTCGCTTAGAGCCTTAAATATATGATTCTGTGTCCTCCTGAAATTCAGAGTTCTTCCTGAGGAAGTTACTGTTTGTCTGATGTATTTGCCTTTAAATATTACTTGACATCTCTCTCTTACAGATTGTAATCTGTCTTTGTCCTATGCTTTTTAACAACTTAATAGTATGTTGTGATGGCATGCTTCTATGGCCACGTGTGTCTGAGGTTCTGGTACTTGGATGTAGATGTCTTTCTCAACACTGGCCAAGTTTCCTGCTGTAATTTTGCTGAAGAGATCTTCTATGCCCCCAACTTGTTTTAGCCCTTCTCCCTCAGCCATGCCAATGAAACAAATATTTTATTGTTTTTTTAGGGTGTCCCAGAGCTCTTACATTTTTCTTTACCTTTTTACTTCTCTTTTGTTCTTTCTGTCTTGGCCCTAACAACTCAAAAGTTCAGACTTCAAACTTGGGTGGGTTTTCCTCTACATGATCTGATCGTTGCTACCAAGGTTGTCAGTCACTGCTTCTATCTGGCCGTTAGAACTTCTAATGTCTTCAGTAATTCCTGTCCAGTTCTCTTTCAGACCCTGCTGCATTCTTTAACTCATTTAACTATTTGTGTTCTTTTTTTCATCTTTTTCTTGTATTTCTATGTTGAGAATTGTTCGTTTGTTAGGATGTGTATTATTTATGATATTAGGTAATGGCTTCTCTAGTGACTTTTTCTTGACAGTGTGTCTTGAGAAGTTCCCATCCTAGTTTTGACCCACAGCACCATGGAGAGATCATTCTAGAGTGAGGAAAAAGCAAGTGTCAAGATCTTGAGCTGTGATGAAGTTCGGTGTACCTGTCCCTGGTGAGCACAACCCGATGCTGGGATTCTCTCATTTGTGTCCTGATCTCCAAGGCTAAATCTCTCAGTGTGCTTTTTCCTCACAGGACCCTGACATGGCAGAACTACAGTTAGAAAGTGGTGAGCTGTTTGCTCAAGTGGGGGCCAGCATTTTTATGGTTTTCAAATGGAGTTCTTTGCTTGGGGTCCAAGGCCCAGTCATCATAGCAACAGTCCAACATCAGGCAATAAGGCGGCTGAAAAACACATGCTTAGAAACTCTTATCAAAAAATACCTATTTAAATTCATTGTTGTAATTGTCTCCTTTCTGCTAGGATACACATCTTAAAAATATGCACGTAAGTTAAGTGTGAAGAAGTCAAGCAATGGTCCTAGAGGAAATAAGGATTTCCAGTCTCAAAGACCTAAAGACAAATGTAGACCCAGGTTTAGTGACCCAGGTTTATTGGTACCGTTTATAGCACTTCATATATAGTTTTAATTTTCTTCCTTTACTTCAGAGTATCTCAACTCTTTTGAGGATCCTAATGGATCAAGCTGAAGATTCCACTTTTGACATGTTTAATAATTTCTATTCTTTTAAGGAAGCATTCAATCCAATTGTTTGATTATTTCATTTGTTTACTTTTCTGAAGATTTTTTTCAGAAATAAAGATTTATTTATTTTTATTTTATGTGTATAGGTGTTTTGCCTGCATGTATGTCTGTGTGCCATATGTGTACAGTGCCTGCAGACCAGAAGAGGGCATCAGATCCCCTGGAACTGCAGTTACAGACTGTTGTTAGCTGCTATGTGGGTGCTGAGAATCTAAACCAGGTCCTTTGGAAGAGCTGCAATTGCTCTTAACCACTGAGCCATCATTCCAGCCCCATTTGTTTACTTTTTGAGACAGGGTTTTATGTTGCTCAGGCTTTTCTTAAGTTTACTTTGTAGCCAAGAATAACCTTGAACTCCTGATCCACCTGCTTCAGTCTCCCAAATGCTGGGAAGAAATGTACAATATTAGGTAGTATCATCATTTTATTTATTTATCTAATCTCCAGTATTGATGCTTTCCTTATTTTTCAGTCATCTAAATGAAATTTTAAGTATCAAATGTAATAAAAACTACTCAAATACTTTACAAATCCTCCTATACAGAGGCATTTGGGTGATGGAGACTCAATTCTCACTTCATAGTTGTATTACCACATATAGAAATGGTCATTAATTAAGTCAATAAGAGCTATGAAAGATACAAATGTCAAACATGACTGACTTGGTGGGTCATTCATACTTAGTTCTCATGTTTACAGTGATTTAGAAACAAACCAGATACTCGAAGGCTGCTAATAAGAACCAAAAAAGTACAAAAAATTCAAACACAAAGAAAAGCAAAATTTATAGGCAGGTCTTGTAGTCCATGCCTTTCACCTCAGCACTTGGGAAACAGGTAAGTGGATCACTGGCAGGCAGAGGTAATGAGTCCAAGGCCACACTGGTCTACATAGTGAGAACTTGTATGAAATAATCCTATCAATTTGGGGCCACTTAGTAGAGACACATTCATGTAAATATCTAAGCTAATTCTTGAGGATAGGGCCAGGAACTGATTTCTAAAACTGACAGGGACTAAGATGCGGTTTCTTCAGCAACATGCTTTCCAAGGAAGTACGGAGAGCTGAATTCAGTCTCTCGCATCCAAGTGACCAGACTGTTCTCCTGTAATCCCAGAGCTGGGGGGCTGGAGACAGGAGGAGCCGTTTGGTTCAACCAGCCTGTTTAGCTGAATCAGTGTGCTCTAATCAAACAGATTCTTCTGTTTCTTTATGTTCTTTCTCTTAACAAACAAACAAAACATAAACAAAAGACAAATAAGACCAAACAAAAAAAAAGCCAAAACAACAACAAAAATGGAACAAAAAGCCCCCATGCCTTTCCCCCAAAACCATGGAGCTTCTTTTGTGTTGCCCAACCACTCTTGGGCATGGGGCCTGCCCTGGTGAGTGGTTGGCATACTCAGTGACAGCCAACTGGGAAAATGTGACTTTCTCCCCCTCAGCAGGTATCAATTGCCAATGGCTTCTTGGTTACAGGTGGGACTGAATGTACACGTCCCCTCTCAGTGTTAGGTCATTTGTTGTCTTGCGTGAACGTGCGTGTGGGTCTTGTCTGCCCTGCCTCAGTCTCTGTGAGTCCGCATGGGTCCTGTTGTATCTGGAAGACACTGCTTCCTTGGAGTCACCCACCACCTCTGGCTCCTACAATCTTTGAACCTTCTTTTCTCCCTGTGACCTGAGGGGAGGGGTTTGATGAAGACTCCTCATTTAGGACTGCATGCTCCAAAGTCTTCCTATCCCCCACATTATCCAATTGTGGGGCTGTGTTCTAATCTTCACCCATTTCTAGGAGAAGCTTCTTTGATGAGGGTTGAGCAAGGCACTGCTCTACAGGTAAAGGAACTGTCATTACAAGTCATTTTATTGCTATGTTTCTTTAGCACAGTAATGGTACTAGGTTTCCACCAAGGCCCATGACCTATCTACTCTCAGATTCTTGGCCACTTTAGCAGTGTCAGGGGTAAGTTCCAACTCATGCAGTGGATCTCAGATCCGACCAAAAAGTGGTTGGCTTCTCTCACAACATTTGTGCCATTACATTGTGTAGTTTTATGGCAAATTGACATAAAACTTTTTTTTTTATTTTTGCACCTTGCGTTTGTAAAAGCAGATAAAATATTTAATATGTAATTTACAATGTATTTTACCAGCTCAGCATACAGGATGTTTATAGATTATATCAAAGTAGTAGACAGTTAGGGGCCTGTGCAAACCCTGTAAAAATAGAACTTCAGGTATCTGCTAATCAAAAACAAAAACAAAAACAGTATGCTGTTTAGAAGTGATACAA